CTTTGCAAGTCAGCACTCATCTTGTGGTGTTGTCCAAACTGTGAGCTAGTTGATTGCAAATCTATGAGAAGAGAACGTTGTGAAGGCAGTATGTTAAGGTCTCAGATGTTAGGAGAGAGCAAAACTAATGCTGCTGTTTCCCAGTGCCCCAGCTTTCCTGCAGGAGGATGCTGCTCCATCAGCAGTGATTTGGTATTTTGTTTTATCCTCATCATTTGATCTGTGGCCTAGTTTTACGTACTGCATGCACTCAAACAACACTGCAGGCAGGCTTTTTACTGTTTTCAACGGCTTTTTCTCTTGTGCTTAGCACTATAGCTCTGGTTCTTCAGTAGCACTAATCTTCACAAAACCCCTATGAAAGAACTGTGCCCCAAACTGGGATACAGCAGGCTGAAGGTTGAAACATGCTGTGTTCCCTGGGACTCTGATGTTCCAGTCTCCTCACCATGATGGAAGCACTTCTTCTGACACTCCGCCTTCCAATAGCTCCAGTCACAGAGGTGCCTCAGTAGGGGGAAGGTGGCAGAGAAAACAGCAATTCCTGGCTAGCTGAACTCCTGAGGGCTAGATTTTGCAACTTGAGTAGTCTTAATAAAATTAAGATTACAAAGACTTTTATAATGTGAGCTTGCGTATGACCTTGTTCTAAGCAAATGTGGTAAAAAACTAAATTCCTTCATACACGTGAGGTGCAATGGCTGACTTTGACCTTAAAGGTCCCCTACAGGGACATCTTAGTGCTTGAGCAGAGGCATAACTGCCAGCCTGAAGGGACCAGCACTGTGGCAGAGCAGGAGCGTGGTTTAACTATTGCCTTCCCAGTATGTCTAACAGGTATTTAGTGGAAGAGTGATAAAATGCAGCTGAGCTGCCCGTTACCCTTCAGTTATTTCCCAGGCCTGGTTCTCCCCCATCCCAGGACCTCTTCCTTACCCCTTCTCTCTGCCTGTCCAGCCCCAGTTGCTACCTCTCATGCTTATCAGCTTCTTACAGACTCTGCTGTTAGACCTATCTGGGGATCTTTCCAAGCTTCAAAAACCCAGTTGCTGCTTCTGGTTCCGCACCTACACGCTCTCCTTCCCTGCCAGCTTTCCTGGCCAGTTTCCTGCCTGTCCTGCCCTGTCACTCCATCAGTTTCCCCATCCCTGTTCACTCTGGCTTCTGGATCTACCCTCTGACATTTCAAGTAATTGCCCAAATGCCTGGCAAGTCAGAGCTTTCCAAAGAGAAGTTAATTATGATTTTTTTTTCAGAGGGATTAGCACAGGTTTTTTTTACCTATGTTTCTCAGAATCACCTGAAATTATTTTGGTGCGGGTTTCACTACAGATGATCTTCACAAAAAACCCCAGTAGGCTGAAGCCCCTGATCTAGAAAATACCAGCCCAACCCCAGTTAGTTTTACAATGTTACAGGCACCCAAAAGCATTGTTTTATAATGAAAATATTTGGCAGCCATTTCTAATGGATGACAGCAGCCTGAGGTCAGGCCTGTCTTGCTTCACAGCCCAGCAGAAGGGGTTTGCTGTGGTGAATGTTTGTCACTGTAATTGCTCTACAAATTATTTGGAGTCGGGATTTTCTAAAGCGTTTAAGAGAACAGGAGACATTCAGCCATCACTGAATTCTGAATTAAAATGGGATTTAAACTCCACTGCTTGAAAATCCAGGCCTTAAGATTGCACATGGGTACCTTCTCTGAGCAGTCTTTCTATCTAACCAGCGCATAAATATATGTGGTTATATTCTGAGGTGAAAATGACTTATATTCATAGTTGAATTCTTCACAAGCTTTCACTGCGCTTGCCGGTGCTTCATACCAAACAAGCATTTAATGCAAAAGACAGCCCTCTAACCTTTTATAGAAATCCAAGTCTAAAACTTTTAATATATATTTATAGCGAGAACCAGTTGTGATGGCTGTCACACTGACACAACACCACCTATAGAGACAGGGAGACAGGTTAACCAGAGACTAACTTTTATTGTGCATTTTTATGCAACAGAACAAATGGAACTGGAGGTATGTAGTAATAAAACCAATATTCAAATTAGAATTAACACCTGAAATAGTAAACTGTAGGTAACAAATGTCTTTATAATTAAAAAATATTGACTGTTTAAAAAATTCTCTAAGATTTTATATTCTTTAAAAGAAATGTGTATTTCCACATAGAAAACAATTCACACATCCTATAGAAATTGTCACAAAAACCTTACTAGTCTATATTACACTATGCACTTTTTTTTTGTACAATATCTGGTAAAGGTCTATCCCTAACCTGTACTTACTCTACACAGTACAATCATCATTAGAAAGTATTCATAGAATTAACTACACCATAACAATAAAAATATCAGGATTAATGGTTTTTTAATCACAGTTTCTCCACAAATATTTGTCATAGAAAATATAGCGAAGGCATGTTGGCACAGATGGGCGTGCGGTACTGCTACACAGAGTTTGAGAGAAGGCAGATACATAAATGACAGTAAGATTAAAGAGTATGGAAGGATAAGACAAGAATCTCTATCCTCCTGGGACTTTCTGGAGTGACATGATAGATAGCGGTTTCCTTCTGTCGCAAGCCTGCTGTCTACATCCAGAGCTGGGAAGGGATGTGCTGACTTACAAAGCACACTGCTTAAATATGGATATCTCGCTCTGCAAGGGCTTATGCGCTATCTATTATTTCAGGTCCCGTACTATTATACCTAACATCTTGTGGATATTTAGACACTTCAGTGTGTATGAATTTATAATGCTTCACAAAAAAATTAATCGGAATAAGCTGTTGTGAAAGGTTTGAGTTTTTTTTTAAATGAAATGGATGGGTCAAGAGTCAAGTGGCCATGATAGCAAATAAAAAGAGACAACCGATAAAAGTTGTTGTACTCCATTATTTTAAAACCAAACACGAACAAAAAAAGATGAGCTGGTGTCTGCTAATGCCTGTCTGTGACTACGATTCATGTCACTGGCCAGTGCACGCAAGCAACTGAGGGCAAAATTTTGTTCGTAAAGAAAGGTCCAAACCTGCAAAGCCATTTCTAGTGCCAAAGTGGCTTTCAGGATGAAACTATACATTTGGTTATTTTGCACAGTATGAGAGCAGAGAGGATTGTGAGTGGTTCCAGGACGCTGGCTACACTTTTTACACTAAAAATAAAGCTAGGCTTACTAGTTATTTCGGCAAATCTTTAGGTTATTAAGTAAGAGAGGTCTGTCCAGTCCAGTAATTCTGTTCTGTGACTGTTAAAAATGAAGCGTTCCTATTTTTAACCTCATACGATTAAACATTTGGAAGGAAACCATCACAATGTTTACAAAAATACAGCATGATACATATCGCCGTGGACAAATTTACAGTATAATGTTGACTCACACGTTCTGACATGTTTTACCAAGTAGTTCTGGCAAGTGTCACCACATTAAACATAGAGACCAGCAAGACTTACACCATCTGAGCAATGTAACATCTTCTATTACAGTTCTTTTTAAAAAAAAGTGTAAGTTCAACACTGAAAAGCTACTATAGGATATCTGTACCTTGACATTTCTATACACCGAGCTCCTCTTCCCGAGGCACCGCGCACCGCCGATTGCTCAGAGAAAGTCACCTCCTGCCTGCGGTGAGGGATGCTGTCCCAACCCCCCCGGCCTGGTGAGGTCCAGTGTGACTGAACTGCTCGTTCGCTTTCAGAAAATAAATGTTACTCTGGGGCAAGCGAGTGCCTTTCAACCCCTCCTAAAAATCACCCAGAATGAAACGAACTGAGAGGTACTGGACGTTGAAGGGCCGAAAGCGCGTCCCGAGGCGCCCCGCGGGCCGGCCCTGAGGGACCCGTCACCACCGCGGGCGGAGAGGAGGCGGGAAGGAACTATCATGGGGGAGCTGACCTCAAGAGACCGCCTCGGTCCTTCGTCCGCCGGCCGGCCGGAGCTAGAGGAGCGCTGCGCCCCGGAGGGCCCTTCCTGATCTCTGAGGAAGGGGCTGGTGCCTCCTGCCCTCCCCGGCGCGCGGGGAGACGGTGGGGAAGGAGAGGAGAAGGGTAAAAGGAGCAATTAGTAGCTTCTCTCGTGGCTTGCACAAGGTGGGGAGCACGAGATGCGCGTTCAGGAGAGTCAACGCTGATGAGGTAGCACTAAGGATGGTCAAAAGCAAAGCGAACTTTCTTTCCGAAAACCAGTCCCCCGCACCTGCCAGCGGGGAAGCGTTGCCTCAAGGAGAGCTGGTTCAGGCTGTGAAGGATGCCAGCACTGGCCTGAGCGACTGGACGAGGGCAAGGAGATGGAAACACCCTGACGCGGAAAGGAAAGGGTATCGTTTCTTTGGCATTGCGTACTTCTGGAGTGCACCAATTTGGAGGGACGACGGACTCCTAAGCCTTTAAAATTAAAGGTTTTCAGTGGACTGACGTTTTTATGTTTTTAAAGTTGGTATTTGCTTCCGGTGTTGCGCACCGCTGTGAATTCTGCTCTAGCACAGCTCTTTTCTTGCAGCTCTTAGTTAGTCTGGACCCCGTGTTTACTTACAACAGAAGGTTAAACTAGGCTCTTCTTACCCGACCCCTCCCTGAATGCAACACTGAACACCGACTGTTAAGACTAGCACATTGCCTCATCTATTTCAAGGAACGGATATAAACCACAAATGAAAGCAAAACCAAGAAAAGGCAATTTAAAGCCTCTAAAGCTACATAATATGGCTGCAGAATTGGAACAGACAAAGCAAAACTTGTCTTCTGAAATGGCAATTTGTTTTTTGCAATCTTGTTTTAATGAAAACTGTCATGATCAACCCTAATCCCCTAGAAATCTAGATAAATATAGTGTCTATCTGATATACAAAGCAATTTTTATCTATTAGAAGTGCCTGTTATTGTTCTGGGTCTTTGAAGGATTCTGCTGTTGACGAGCACTGCTGTTTTACCTGGGAAGCTTAATTTCCTGGCAGAGTTGGCTAAAGGAAGTCCCTGAATTTTCCATCTTGTGTGGTATTTTAAGGTAGCATTGATAATTATGTTATTTTCTGCTAGGAAATGAGAGACCACTTCTTTTTTTGTTATAAGCGTGCAGACTTGTTCTTACATCTCCTACTCCGGGAAAGCAAATAGTACCCAGCTGTTCTGGGTCCAGACCTGGGCTTGTTATCAATAGGCAGACGAGACAGTAGCTGCTGTTTCTTTTGACATTTTTACAGTTTTTAAACGACCTTTCCTCTAGAACTAGATGAAATGAACTGCAATTTCCCTTTGAGGGTGCTATGAAGGATTTGCAAATAATAGGCACTAAGAAGTTCCATAGAGCAGGTCTTGAAATGGTTTTCTTTCTGTTAACTGGGACATGGTAGGATGGAGAAGCTGAAATGTATGCAGTATGTGTTCAAACATGCTTTGGATTCTTAAATGACAGCAGGGTAAGTGTGTTTAACAAACAGTCTCTCCTAAATTAAGTGGTTGCTACTGTTTTATGAGGTTCTTCTTACTGCCATCAATCGCCAGATCCGTCTTGCATACCTCTGTTGAAGACTTCATCCTGTGATCCTGGATGGTCAGTCCCTTCGTAATATGAGTTCCCATTGTGAAGGAAAGTCCCCACCGCACGCCCTTGGCGAGCATGTCCTACTGCGTCGCTGAATACCTTGTTTATTTGCTCTTCGGATGGCATCCACCAGTCTGGGTTGGAAGTACAATGCATCCTAATGAACTCTGCAGGAAAACATGCAAGGATAAAAAACAACTTGTCTTTGCAGCATCCATTATCGCCCAGGTGTCAAAAGCTCATGGGAAATAAGAAAGGGGGCATTACTGCTCTACTTAAGCAGAAGTAAAGCTTTATGGGGGATGCCATGATAATGCCACTTGGACCCGTTTTATTTCTGTACCAGTGTGTTTCTCCACATGCAGTGTATGTTGTTATACCTGAGCTAATTATGTGACGCATGGGACCTGGAGATAAAATCCCTTCTTGTGGAAATAAAAAGAACTAATTCGAAGTGACGACCGCGATTCAGCATGTGCCATACATGTGAAAGTTAACATGAACCGGGATGTATTTCGTTTGAAACCTGTTGTGTGTTTGTACCTTAAGGCGCTTACTCTCGTGGATCTTTATGATCGCCCTCTGCTGGCTGCTTCAACATCTGCAGGCTGCAGTAGCCCACAACCTGCTTGAAAATGTCACTACCATTATCTCCGTTTGGTGCTCCTTTCTGTTTGGAATATCTTTCATTTTAAGTCCTGCTCCTTCCATCTTCCTGAATCTGACACCTATTTTTCAGAGACTAAACTGGCCTTAGAAATAGCTAAATGAGATTAGAGGGCTAACTTGGGAAGTCTTGCAATAGTTTTCAATGCAGGAGAAAATGAATTGCACTGCATGTAATTTGGCTATTTAAGTAGCTGCTGCTTCCACGTACAGCTATTTGTATGTGATGATTGCATTTTTTATAATTTCTTTTTCAGATTCTTTGACATGCAATATGCTAAACTTGCAGAAGGTGCCTTACCAATTCTGGAGTTTTAACTGCTAGACATAGCTCAAAGAGGTGTATTTGGACTTTGAAACATCCAAAAACGATTTTAAATGTGAGGGCACCTTATTAGATATATTAGATACACTGTACCTCATATGGAAACCGAGCTTCTTATTCATTCTGTAACATTAGTTATTCCCTCATGCAGTATTGCATGTCCTAGGATATTTTTAAATTCTATTTTCTACTGTTGACAAGCCAACAGCACAATAAGTGGCGTAAGGTAACTTCATTACTGTCACCACATCTCAAGACCAGGAAATGCTGTGCTTTTACTGGGTTCCTGTGCCTGCAAGGTATCTCATCTGTTGGACAATTAGGACGTGATTTTTGCATAGCTCCTCCAGCAGTGTGTCTGCAAAAGTGATAGCTATCTCGGTTTTAAATTCATTTCCCTGGAAATCCACACAGGCAACAGTAATTCCTACCCAGTTATGTTCATGTGGGGCTCCACAGACTGGTGTTTTTCTCAGAGAAATTGTTACCACGTAAAGGAGTAATGCTGTAATTTAAGCATGCCAGGCTGTTTTAAAGCTGGTTCCAGACATCAGTCAGGTGTAGGAATATATTAAAAATGTTTATAGATGTTTAAACTACTCTGAGTGCAGACAGAGAAGCAGTTTGTACTTCCTGCTATGGTGGGAAGGCATAATTGGACGTGCTGAGAATTAGTCAGACACTTGTTACCTTGGCTTGCAAACGGGTAGGAGCCAGTGACCAACTCTTGGCACTGGAGAAAGTTGTCACGTTCCCACCCACGCACGAAAGCCCAAAGGGAGAGCTGTCTATTCTGCTTTCTTAATTGGTCCTTAGATACTGAATGTTTTGGCTTCCTTTTCAAGCTTCTGCAAATTAAGGAAATCGGCCTTTCTCTTTCTCTTTCTCCCAAGGAACGCTCCACATGTTCTGTATGTCCAGGACCCCAGAAAGGAGAGTGGCCATAAGCAAAAGTCCATTTACATGTGGATTTACTGTTAGTCTTGGTGGGAGGCAGGGGGAAGAAAGGGGAAGAAAAGAGTATTAACACTCTGCTTGTGCATAAATTATTAGGTGAAATTTAAAGTCATTTAGTAAATGGTTAATGCATTTGTATTCAGCCTTCAGTTTCCAGGAGAACTTCTGGGACCCTGAATCTTGCTCCAGACCTCTGTGCAGCACGGTGTGCAACGGACTTGCCCTTCTATTAAGCTCTGATAGAGTATAAGGTCTGACAGAGTATCATAGAACAGGTTAACAGATTCCTTTGTAGTAAAAAAAGAGCCTCTTTACCTAATTTGGCTGTATGTAAAATTTGAGTTCATTACCTGGTTACATCAATGTACCCCAACTACAGGTCTTATCTACTTGGCCTTGTTGGACTCTTCTACCCTAGATGGGACAAGGCTCCATCTGATGTATATAACCACTTTAGACTCCAGTTGGATGACTAAAGATACTTTTATCACTGATTGACCAAAATATAGCTTCTTACACTGCATTGAGTAGTAAAACATTCTTGAAGTCAGTTCAACCAAAATTTCATGTATGTGCTCACAAAATACTATAAAGTTAACTATGAGTTAATTAAAGAAATTATAAGCATATGCATTTATAAAAATGCAGATGCTGATACTACAAACACGTTTTTAATGTCCTGTTTTGTATTTTTCGTTATAAAGCCCAGTACCAGGCCTTTTGAACAATTTTAGGAAACCAAAGTATGAACTGCCACAACAGATAATTCTTCTCAATCTGGACCCCTTCTCTGTATTGTCCAACATCCTCACTCTCTCACATTGTGAAATGCTTGCAAAACTCCCCCTCCTTTTCAGGCTAAACATGGGGGAAAGTTGTTCCCTAACTTTTTCAGTCAATGTTGCATCAGTACTTTGAAGAAGAAGTTAAATCCTTGACACAGCATTTGTATACATTTTGTATGTAATTAATCTGTAGATGTTCTTGGCCCTACAAAATGTTCAAACCTATTCTGAAACTCTCTTAGCTTTTAACTCCAATGATGCACTGTGGCCTTGAGCGTCATATGCTTACTGCACATTAGGCTATAAATATTCCTTTGGTTAATTTTGCTGTATATCAGTATTAAAGAATGCCCTTTTATTTTATTATAAAAGAGTGTAATCAGGATTGTCTGATTTTCCTTCTTTGTTGTTTCAAGTATATCAGTGTCATGTGCCATTGCATTTGTCTCCTCTCTTAAATAAGCAGTCCTGTTTTTCCCATTCAAAAAAACCCCAACCACATATATAATACATACATACATATATATATGTATGTATAAAAAAAAAAAAAAGCGGAGTGTTTCTGGCTGCTTGTCACCTGCCTGTGAAACCCCTTCTAGTTCTGCAACTGTCAGCCAAATGCTTCTACTGAGCCAGAGCCAATGTGGTGAAATGAGATCACATATGGTGGACACTGAGCGAAAAGATGCAGTACCTCTGAGACATGTTACTTTTACTGGATCCAGAGGACGTCTTTCAGGACCTGTCTCTCCTGACTGCACTGACCTTTTCCTTTTTCCAAGGCCGCATGAGTACTTAAGCTCATCGGTTGTGAAAACAAATCTGATGAGATAGCGAAGGAGCCGTCGTCCATCTTTCTTGGAAGAATTTACAGCCTCATCCCACTGTTTACTAGTGATGTAGACAGGGTAGTTGTTCAGCAACTGCTTGCTCCCCTGAAAAAGTGAAATATTTCCGTTGCTTATTTCACAAGGCAAGTAAGCAAAGATGTCAGCTGCAATAAAAAATACTCTTTTCAACTAGCCGTGATACTGATGGCGAAACACATCCTGAAGTGAACGCGTAATTGCTCTTACTGAGAATGAGTACTTTTAAAATTACATTTCCGTTTTCTAGAACTTGAATTTGGTGAGGTACAAGGAATACATTTTGAGAGGTGGCTATTGATAATTTCCACTTTAACAAGCAGGTTAAAAAGAGTTAAGCATCAGTGACAGGGTATACTATTTAAGTATAACCTTTCTTCTTAATCTGTTAAAATGCATGAAAAGGGTCTTTGAAGAGTGTGATCAAATGGATCACTTCATCGCAGCTGACAGTTTACTTCAGAGGTGACTCTTTTGGTCTATTTTTATAATAAATTTATTACTTCTGTAGAACACACCCGAAACTTGACAGCAGTTATGTTACTGTGAAAAATGTAAAGAAAATAAATAAAGGAACTATGAAAACTAAAAGCTTCATTATTATTAATGAATGCTGTATTAACTCAAATTATAGCTTTACAGAAATGCTACCATGTCAGCTGGAAAGAAATTTTGCTTTTAACCTTCATAATTTGTGTGCTTCAATATTCTCACATTAAATGAACGCTGTGGGACTAATTATGGGCATTCCTGTACTCCACACACATTTATAAGCCCTCTTTAGTCAATTGTACCTAAATCGCATTTAATTCTTGTTGCCCATAAAATGCCATAGTTCAGGATTACGCAATTGACATAAGATGGTACTGTTAATATACCTGAAATAACTGAAGTACACAAAAAAGCAAACCACACCCTCCTAGAGACTCATTCACTTTTACAGCTACACGTCTTTATTAAAACACATAAATATGGAGGCCCAATTAGTAAAATCTTCGTATAGCCTCCAGCTTAGATAGGAGCTCACAGTGAACTACAGAAACATGGGTCTGATGCTCAACAGAGGCAATCAGCCGCATGCTGCACTTGTGGGCAACTGTTGCAAAGTTCTCCTCCTCGCTTCCAGATCTTTGATATCTGAAAAATCTATTTTTAAGGACTACCCTTGCCTCCTTTCATATATTTATTATAGCATCCTGGGAGACAGCGTGGGAGCATCTTTGAAGTTTTTCCTCAGGTATTTGCTTTTAATTTTTTTGCAAGTTTGATAAATATATGGAAGGTTGAATTCAGTGAAGACCATGATGAGGGGGTCATGAGAGATTCTGTACGATTTAGGGTACCACCACCTTCCGGGGGGGGTAGCATCACTGGGAGCTGAGCTTATGTGACACTCGGCTACTTGTTTGCTTTGGTGCAAACTGCTGGCAAAGACAGCTACAGGCAAATCCAACACTCTGCAAAGGAAGCCAAAATATAAAGGAAGAGATGGGGTTTGTCTGTCTGAGGGACCCCTCCCCTCCCCCCAAAACATCTCAACTCTTCATTCCCCCTGTAGCTTGTAAATCCGAGCTTGTAATCCCTAAGAGAAAGACCTATAGTCCAACTCTTGTTACCACTTGAGACTTTCTCTTTGCACTTCACTTGTCTCCTCCCACCACTGCAAAAGGGCCAGGGTCAATTCCTCCCCCTCCAGTCACGATACAAGAAGCTGCTTTAATTTTTGCCAGGTACACAGGCGCCTGGGAAGCCAGCAATATGTGTGAGGAGCTCTGCTGTGGAAAGAACATTACCCTCCACCCAGTCCAGCTCCTCGTCCTCTGCCGACATGGTGAAGGGGCTGGGGAAGGAGGAAGAGTAGGGGCGCAGCACGGAAAGCTCTTTGGGGGTATTGTAGTCTTATGCTGAAGCAACTGTGACCACTCCATCTCAGGGGGAGCTGAGGCTAGCATCTCCTTGGCTTGTTCCACCACAGAGGGAATGCACAGGACCATCTGATCCCCATGGTGGTACTTATTTTTTCAGCAGCTAGCTCCACATCCCTTTTATATAAAGCGAATTATTTTCTTACCTTAGATTTCTGAAACCTAAAACCTGTAACGAAGCAAGGACCTTTCTTACTGATACCAGTGCAAAGTACAAGCTGCAGCTAACTCTGTAGGCACTGCCTTGCTTTTAAGTCCCGGTAGGCAGGAGCAATGCAATGCAAGCCTGTAGTGGCACAGTGTAAGGCTCCAGGCTTGCTCACGTGCGTTAGGGACGGATGCTTCTATGTGGCTTTGCTAAGCAGCAAGCTATCCTAGAAGCCACCTCTGTGCTTAAATGTATTGCACTGATGGAAATAGGGTGCAGAAAGGCCCAACATCTAAATTTCATGAGAGCTCACATTACTATTAACTGAGGAGAAGGCAATAAATTTTGCGTAATTTCCTCAGCCCCAATTTTATTTTACTTCTCTCCTATTCCCTCTGAAATTTAGGATATTTTTCCTCATTCTTCTCCAAAGGCATGATATAGTGTTATGCTACCCTGTTAAACAATTGCTGGGTTCCTGCTACAGATATACTTTCATTACTTCCTCTGAAAGTAAAGCACTTCTGGGCAAAAGATTCTCGGTAAATATATGATGCAGTTTGGTGTGTCCAGCAGTCATTACACTAAAACAAACAGAAAACCTTCCAGAAATGAAATAAGCAGACCCTGAAGGAAGAACCAAAGTACAAATGCGTTCATGCTTGTATTTGTACATGATTAAGCTTATGAATAAAAGATTAGCATCTATGTGTTTAATTGAATAAAAAATTCTGTCACATCACGACAAGTTATTCCATGTGGGACATTACAGAACAGCCTCAGTTTTTACAGTGCTTGAAAATTTTAGGTATGCCAAAGAGCATTAAAAAAAGCAAAATGAATCCTTGGAATATATTTCAGTGATAACAGCTAATGATATATATAAATATAAATTTATATATGTATATATCAATTCACACAGGAAAAAACTGAATGGAGGAGCAGTGATGCGCACCCTGAACGGCTGCAAAGCATCTTCACTGAAACTACACTAAGTTGGACTACGTGAGGTTTGCACTACATATCACTGATGTGCAAAGGGAGGTCAGACTTGACCTAAGTCTTCCCTCTCCTCAGTTTGTTTCCATGAATAATGGGTAGTGACACGTATACACTACATACACAAAAGCATGCATAGCAAGAGCCTCAAATACAGACAGTCTAAACTAGAACAGTCTCAACAAAACCACTTCATTTGAGGCATTTTTACAAGCCTGGATAGAAACACACTGGAGCAAAATTCACGTGAGTTACACTAGAGCTGACAGCTAAATCTATACATCTATCTTCTAGAGAAGGGGAAGACACGAAATTTCCTGCTTTTTCACTGCAGCGCTTTTAAACAGAACATAATTACAAAAATCCCCAAACTCTGTATCAAGTATAAAATTGTCAACACTCAACATTTTGTTTGGGATGCCTTCTGAAAAGCAAGAGCACTCCAAAGCCTTGCCGAAGTCTATATTTGGGTCTGTCTGCAAAATGAAGGAAACGTATATTTTAGTGTTAACCATCTCAGGGCTGCATTAGAGCTATACTACCTGTGTAGGCATGCCTGCCTGCGTCCATACACACGACATGCTGGTACTCCCCACGCACGGGCTGCAGCCCCTGCGCACCAGCAGCTGCCAGGGTGGCCGCTGTCAATCGCTCAGCTGCAGTTCTCACCAGGCTAGCCCTAGCCTAAGTTCTACCCACAAAAATGAGGTTTCTGAGGAAAGGTGAGAGAAAAATTGCCCAAAGCAAGGCAAGCGCAGCTGGTGCCGATGGAGGGAGTTACGTGCTGCTCAGTAAAGTCATCCTAGATTATACTAGTGATGAATCTCCTCCATTTGGGGGATTACTGTACCTAAGAATGACAGTTTAATAATAGATTTTACATACTTTTACTACTAAATATATTCTTCCAGCGCCTACTGATTTATTTGCCTACATGTTTTCAATGAATTGTCAAACATAAAGAGATATAGGTTGTCTTCACTGTATACTACCTCAGTCGGATGGTCTGTTGGCTGTGGTACCATAAGCTGGTTGTGATGCTGAAGCACAGTCTTCAGATAATCTAAAACAGTCTGGCAGGGCACTGCATAAAACAAATTGCAATTACTGTATATTAGCTATCTAGCACAAAATAGAACAACAACATTAAATCAAGCAGTGTTCCTCAGGATCTGTTTTGTACGTCTGTGAGATTTATTTCAAATAGGAAATACTACTCATTTTGATTTGTGCAGATATTTCATTCAATAAATATACGATGGATGTTGTATTTCCTATGTTGAGATCTCTGATATCGCTTTTATTTTCGGCCCACTATTTTCAAAGTTTTTTTTTTCCTAGTTTGAAATTATAATTATTACAAATACAAATTAGGCCAGCAGTAATGATAATAAGAAAAAAAATCTGTAAATACTATAAGCAACCCAAACCATACAAAGGAGAAAACACTTCCTGGACTTAAATCATGCACTGATTAACATGTAAATATGCTCAAATGTTTTTGAAACTACAGTCTGATTAACTATACTGAGCAGATTTAATGATTCATATACTTTAATTCCTTTTCCCTCCCTCCTCCCAAATTTGTTATAAAACTAGGTGTTAGGCAAATTGCTTTATTTCTCTTGCCCTCATCCTCCCCCTCCCCCTTTCCATTCCCATCACTCTCATCCATTTCAGTAGTGGTACCAACATCCTATTCCCTTCTGCTGAGGTGATAGGTTAATTAGGGATGATTCAATTATGGGTCTCTCTTAAGCAGATGCTGCCACATCCCTGATTAACTCTGGAGTATTTTTGAGATACAGTGCTTTTCTCCTGAGCCTGAAACACCATAGGAGAATTAAACAGATATTAACCCAACATTAAAACTGATTTGTGCAAGACTAAATATGCATCATTTTTAAGGTACCTTATCACTCACATTTCATATGGGTTGTTTTTGTAAAATATTCAGAGATAATCTTAGCTTCAGCTAAAAATCCAGAAAAAAATACTTGTGTTCTTTCTTTTTTTTTTTTTTTAATTATTTCTTGGCATTCAGCCTTTACACCTGGAAAAATGTGATGTTTTGGGCTTTATCTTAAGCTGGCAATCTGAAAGCAAGCACTGAAATCACGGAGAATGTCTCAAGGTAGGATTTACAGGTATTTTGCACTTTCCTGGGCATTCACACTGCGCAGCAACTGTTCCCCTGTCTAGGCAGACAGGGTGCAAACCACCTTTACTCTCTACAAAACAGACTCTTTCCTAAGGGCTAAGCGGTGTTCCATCCAGCAGCCCACATACAGAAGTCATGCAAAGTGCCTGATATGAATAATAAATTCCTAAGTCATTTTACCCCACGCCAACTTCTCCGTAAAGACGACCCATCAGTGTATTTATTTACTCCTGTTTCATTTGATATATCACATCTTGCCATAGGAGGTTAAGAGGTTATGCTTCAGGCAAAAGTTAGCATTTCAAGTGACTTGTACATGTTTTATTTCTCCAGTGACTTCACTCCTTATTGCTAGACCAGGGCAGTGTCTCTAAGTAGTGTAGCTGCCACACAGTGACACTGCCATATAAGCAAGAGAGCCTGGATGCTTTTTTTTTGTAGGAAACAAAGCACTTTTAAGTATCATCGGGTGGTTTCAGAAATGTTTCAATTCTGAAAAAGTCAGAAGGGCAGTCAAACTTAATAGTCCCACCAACATGTTCTGTGGCCTTCCTGTAATTGAAGCTGTGTATTTAGTGTATAGCAGCAATCAAAAAATTCAATACAAGTTCTTATGTGGAATAAAGGACAAAAAATAACCACCGGTAACGTTTTAGTACACTGGATATTCGTAAGAAGTTGTGGCAAAAAACCAGTTTGGCTCCCCCCCCCCGTTTTTATATACAGGAAAGCACATGTGGGAAAAAGAAAAGATTTTTTTTTTTTTTTATTATTTTCCATGTGTATGGGCTGAAGGATAAGACTGTATTTCAAGACTCTTTTCTTACACTCTGTATGTGTTTGCTGTCTGGCATATCCAAAATGAAGATTAAACTAGGAACGCCCATGCACAGCTTACTCTCTGATTAAGTAGGTGTCCAAGAAAGAGGCACAAGGATCTCAAAGGCTCGCTGCCCTGGGCAGCGTCAGAAACCCTGTGACAAAGTCAGCAAAACCTCCCACCCAGGTGGAAATACTGCGGGCCACCAGCATCTCCTGTGAGATCCCGGCATCTCCTGCGAGGTGACAGTAAGGATGAAGAGGCTATGATGGGTGATCGTACTAGTGCCTGAAAGGGGCCTGATACTTGGACTTGGAGGAGAGTTCAGCGATACCTGGGAAATCGGAGATACTTGTGAAGTATCCTTTTCCTGCCCTCTCTAAACGTGTCGCTTTTTGTTTAGCAAGCTCACTGAAGACATAGTTGCCAAAGCATCAGCAGTACCTGGAAGCTTTCGACTTCTTTTGTCCCCCTGAAGCTGTGTTCAAAACAGTCTGTGAGATTTGCACTTGCTTTTCTGGTTATCTCTATTAGCAAAAGTCCCTGGTGATCACCTGATGGCTCTCAGCCATACTTGGTACTATTACCTGTAATTATGTGGAACAACGTGGGGCCTGAAAGGGAACAGAATATAATGCATCAAAAATTTCTAATTTTGGGGAGCTGATCTCACAGCAGGATGGTATTTTACCCACAGTAAGTAATTTCACCGCAGACTATCCAGACATGTATTTAGCTATGTTCTTCCAAAGGGATGGGGCACAAGCGAGAAGACAAGAGGAAACTATTTAACCCGTTGTGTCCCCAGCAGCTGAAGCACAGCTCTACTTTGATGGTATTCTGCTGATAAAATGCTTTCTCATTACCGGTGAGAAATACGAAGGTACTAAAAGCTGGCTGAAGCTTATAAATACTTCTACATTCACAAAAGCAGTAACGTTTCGAGCACAAAATTGTATGATTTTGTTCTCATTCCAGTGACCAGAGGACTCTGAGCACTTTTGACTTGTAAAGCCACCGTACATCACAGTTTGCTGCTGGTACAAATAACCTCAGCCTTTCAAACACCAGATGCTACTTGCAAAGCCAGGCTTCTTGGGCTGCCATATTAACCGAAGCCTAAAGGAAGCCACAAAGAGAATCGCACAAGGCTGAGAGTCAAAGCTTCAGTTTTGCTTCTGTGTCCCTCATAGTTCTGCAAATATTCTCTTTGCCAAGAGATAAGAGGAATCGTTTCCTCCAAATCCTGCTGCAAATGTAACTTTTTAAGAGCCTGCGGCTCCCAACTACGAGGATGAAAAATCATTTAAACCTGCTAGCTTATTTATTTCATATTTCTTTGACTTTGATGTGGTCTCTAGAGAGTTAACAAGATCATAACCGCCAGAGCAGATTCTCTGCAGGCTTATGCACGTTTCCACTACCACTGACGACACCAGCAGCGATCGGTGCCTACAGTAACCAATGGGAAAGATGCTAATGTCGAAATAACACTTGCTTGTTATGATTTAGCAGAAAGCTTGCGGGGAGGCAGTAATTTTCCTGCCCACTACGAAGAAGTTTCCATGGCCTTTACTTTCTGCAAGCGCCAGTGCCACTGGAAGTGGGAAAGCGACCTGGCCTGCAGCGAGTGGAAGACAAGTGAGATCTTTGCGGGAGCTAAAGGGTGAGGAGGAGGTGGTGCAGGGGACTGACTGAGCATGCTGGGGAAGGCTGGTCCTGCTAAGATGCTAGGCGGTGACTAAGCAGGACACACGTAAGAGGTGGCAGGTCTTCGTTGTTTATTGATCCCAGTTACAAGGCTTCGTTGTTATTCTAGGCATCTGTACGCTGTAACAAGTGCTGCTTCAGCATGGCTTGTCACAGCTTTCTCTGCGGAGTATCCTGATTTCTAATAAATAGTTGAATGGCGTGGTGGCCACCGACTGTGCCGATGACAAAAGCTGGGGTGTGATCTCTCAGTCTGACCCGCCACACAGCGCAGCAACTGCCCCAGACTAAATCCTCTTTGCACTACACAGTATCAGCAGGTAAAACACAGTACAACTCAAGTCGTCATCTCCTAGCGATGCAGTTTCTAGCCTTGGCTCGTTGTTACAGTGTGTGCTATTTCACCCTCAGAAACATACACCTTATTTCAAGTCTGCATTTTGTTTTCCTTCAACTGGGTTTTACAAAATCTCTGGAAAAGAAACGGAAAATGCCTGTCACCTGTCAGGAACTTATAGTTAGTGGTGAAGTCATTTCTCTGTCTTCTCTTTGCTAAGCTCAACACTGACCTTCCCGAGATGCTGGGTTCAAGCTAAAAGCAGAGTCCCTACACCTACTTACGTGTCTGTACATCCAAAGACCATGCCAACCCTTTTGGCCACGCTGTGCATCAATACTTGGCCAGAAAGCCACCACATCTTCCAAGAGCCTTTCTCAGTGTCCATTTCCCAGGGGCTGAAACCAAGCAGAGCGATGTTCTCTGTGCCTCAACACATGGTAATGCTGCACCGTGTTTGGCCAAGTCTGTCACCTCTCATCTTCCTCACTCACTGCTACCTCTGCGCTGCTTGCAAGCTGTGAGCAATGATTGTATGCTTTCTTTCATCGATGGAAGTATTAAAAACATGGGTTGTGAACAGTTTCACAAAGAATCCCTCCAGAAATTCAACTGCATCGTGGCAGTTTCCTGAATACAAACATATTTGCATTTTTAAAATCACTTTTTGTAATATAATGTTATGTAACACCCTGAGTATCTGCAGTACCCTCCATCAACCAAACGTTTCACCTCATCAAAACCATAATTTGGCAAGATGTTGCCTGGTACTAACTCCATTATTCTCTTTTAGTACTCTATTAATTGAAGCCGCCATCAGCTGTGCAATCGGTTTGTCTGGGCTCAGTATCAGGCCAATGAACCTACAATGATCCGGGACATCTCATGTGTCCTTTTAAAAAAAATAATGATACAGTATTTGCATCTTTCAGTCTTCTGGAGCATCCCAAATATTCAAAAACATAAAGAAAATCATCGTCAGCATCCTCTTTGTCCACCTTCATTTTTGTTTTAGCTCCTGAAATGAGCTGTCCAAATCTCATGATTTGAAAACAT